AATTCTGCCTCAGAAAATTGCTAAGACGGCTAAAGAAGAACTTAGGCCACTTGTTTTTTCGGTCGAGACTAAAAGTTTGGTAGGCCTAGAAGAAAAAGTTCAAGTTTCTGAGCCAAAAATCAACTCAGAAAATGATTCGTCAGAAGAGTATTCTAATGACGAACAAAGCCAAGACATGGTTTTAGACGTCGAAACCATGACAGTCGATATGGTTATTGGCGATAAAGCCAATATGGAGAAATCCCTTTCAACTAAGTTGTTTGAGTTAAAAGCCGAAATTGGCGAAATTATTATGTCTGGGGGGCTTAATAATTGTTTGACACATTTGGCGGCTGAGAATAAAAAATACTTCGCCAAGTCAAAAGTATGTTGAAATGATTCTTTATTTGGCCTAAAGCGAACTCAAAGTGAAAATTTTGATGTAAAAATATCTCAGCTTGGAATAAAGCATTGTTGGCCTCCTTCTAATTATGATTTAGCCATTTTCATTCTCCTTTGTTTAAAATAAATATAATAAATAAATAAAAAATAAAAAAACAACAACAAGAAAGAAGAATAAAGGGGGCACAAGCGATATGACCGGCGGATCAGACTTAATCTTGCCGAGAATGAGTATATATAAAGAAGCTGCTTGGTGAAATCTGATACTCAGTGCAGAAAGTTTTTTTTTAGGCTGAACTCAGCCAACTCGTCGAGACATACTTTCCAAGTTATGTGACCAAATTTATGGACATAACTTTTGAAACTGGGGGCATAGTGAGATGATGTGGCGTGAATCATCATTCAAATCACCATTTTTTAAGGCCAGGAAACTGGGGGACATAACTTGTGGCGTGAATCATCATTATATATATATATATATATATATATATATGCCCACCAAGCAAATATTAATTACCTACATGTTCCTCAGCCATTTTTATATAAGACCCTCTGATGTCCTCGACCAGCGATGATGTTCCTCGACAACTTTTATATAAGACCCTCTGATGTCTTCGACCAACAATGATGTTCCTCGGGCACTAGTGGTGTCCATATATATATGCTTACATGAAAAAGTGTTTGTGTAATGTGTGCTGCCATGATTGCTGCGTTGCTGACTTTGATTGATGATAGGCCAAGTTGCCAAGAGTGGTTTGTCTCGACCCCCAATCTTAATGGAGACACTTGTTTTGGTTTTCCCCGAATTTCTTCGAGTTTTTGGACTTACAAAAGCATCAAAGAAATAAGGATGTTATTCGGTGAGTTTAGCGGAGACTATTTGGTGAAGCTGGGAGACAGAAAAAATAAAATGTGATAGAAATATGCTTGGCTGACAACATCATTCCAAGTTAGACAGAATAGGCCAATAGGCCAAGATTTTATTTTGTTTTTTATGGCCTTGGTTATATATATAATGCTAAGGGGTGGATGGTTAAATGACATGCCAAACTTGGTCGAGCTGTCCACATGTGATCGTTTCAGAAAAGGTGATTGCAACATTCATGATGGGTGACAGGCCGAGCTACCAAGAATCAGGTTCTTCTCGGCCTGGTTTTTCTCGACCCCATTTTCAATTCGACAGTATGAGTTGGATGGTTGAAGTAATTAGAAGGTTTTTTTGGCAAAGTCACCGAGCCATGTATAGAATTGTAGCAGTCAAGGAAGACCACATCGTTAGCATAACAGACATGTTATTGCCAAGGACCAAAGTTTCTTTTTCATCGATACGATGGGATTTTGTTGGTTACGAACACTTAATTTCCTTAACCATTCGGCTTATGAGCCAAAGTTCAAGGAAATTGGGGGGCAATGTTTGGACCCAAATTTACACCATCGGCCCGTGCAATCAAGGTCGTTGAGTGAGCATAGCTCCCAACCGTCGGATGAAAAAGTGAAGAAAATTTTACTATTGCTAAAGGATAATATTATGGTTTTTATCATAATAATTATCTTTTAATATGAATTATTTGCATCTTGTTAAACCAGATAAATAAGATGCGAATTATATCCCAAGCAAGCAATACAATTCGAATTGATTTGCGATGTCTGACGGCACTTGGAAGCAATACACTTGAAATTCATTTGATTAGGATGCATGCATGGTTTAAAGGTGATGGGATTATGATGATGTGATAAGCCTAGGATTTGATGGTCCTGGATAATGATGATGGGCATTGTCAGATGGGTTTGGAGTGATAAGAATTGATGATGGGAGCACAGTATGCATGCCGTGTGAAGGGGCACTTCGAGATTTCAAAGGGACACATGTTGTTCCTCTTGTAAAAGTACACAGGCATAAGGAGACTGGGGAGATTTTTGCTGAAATATATTAAAGATAACATCAGTTATTGTTTTTAGGAGTATATTCAGAAAAGGTCTCTATTGGTTTGGAGATCAAAGAGACTTGCTATAAATACAGAGGCAGTGACAACAGGAAAACCCTCTTCAACTCAACACACAAACAGCCCTGCACAAACTCTCGCTTTACGTGAAACCTCTTAACAACCTTGAGATTTTAATTTTTTTTTCGCCAACACATCTTCAGTTTGGATAAACAGCACTGTGAAGGCAACCGGTGAACATCTTCAATTTGGATAAACAGCACTGTTGCCGTAGAATCAATTGGCCGCAAAGCACCTTCAGTTTAGATAAACAGTACTGCGTTGAGACCGACTGGTTACCTATCCAAGTCTCAGTCGAGAAGGATTCTTGAATCCTTATTGGCAAAAGTCATCTCATTAGCCTTCTCGGCGAAGTGAGGTGTTACAAGTTACTGGGTTCGGCACATTGAATGCCGAGTTGTTTTATGATAGGATATTCACAAGTAAGTTTTAAAGTTCGGCATCCTGACGGCCAAACCACATTCACCATCAAGACATACATCCCTTTTAAGTACTTGTGTCTATATAGTTTGCTGCCAGTTCGGCATGCTTATACTCTTACGAATATAATCACTATGACCGAACCCGGCGCTAATTATTTGTGAACTTCGCAGAACTAGTAGCCTTATCTTCAGGCTCTGGAACCCAAAGGCCTAGATATGTTCCTTCCTTGGTCGCAGTTGCAGGATCAAGAAGCCAACAACTCGCTCAACAACATCAACTCATTTTACTCACCGGCCAAGCTCGACCGTCGAGTTGGCACGCCCCGCATATAACCAAAGGACATAGTTAGCTCATTAATTACTCGGCCTGCGCGCCACGTAGGTTTGGTAGTTTTTACGGTCAACAATATCTTTTATTGGTAAGCATGTTTAAAATGGCTTCGTCACCCTTAGGTGTCGGCCAGCACGTGTCTACTTGGTATGTGGGGATATTTGGGTTGGGACGTGTCACTTTGTCAATTTCAGGGACCCTAACTCCAACCAAAATTGCATCAAATTACTTTTCTAAATATCATAATGGTTATCAAGCATTAAGACAAGTAGATAATTTAAATACAGTGATTAATAATTCAAACTTGCATGCATAGAACCATAAGTAAGTTGAAAAGAAATTGTATATTCTTGCTAAGGCTCATGGCCTAAGAAAATTAGTTACGAACAATCTTAAAACAAAATATTATTATAAACGAGGATAGAAAACACCTTGAAATAAGAATACAAATCCTCAAAGCCTAGCAAAGTTCTTCAAAATTTATGCGTTCTCCCCTCCCCAAAACCCTAATGGTTAAAAAGCCTTATTTATACTACTACACAATTAATATCCTTACTAGAAAATGTCTTCTAAAAATAGGACACATAATAACTTTAGAGAAACTGAGAAACATAATCCTAATCAAATATGGGAAATCTGCCCAGCCACAAATAAGCCACATTTCTGGATCTTGAGGGCCTCAAAACAGGCCCAAAACAACTAGAATGAAAGTTTGAGATGTCCCGAACATAATGTCAGGGGCATCAAACCGAAAAGACATCATCATGGATGCCAAAAAGCCCAATTAAGCCCAAAACATCACTTTAACATCACTGCGCCCTGCTCCTTTATTTCATCGTCATAAATAAACCGCATGATAGAAAAATCTGAAACTTTGATATGAACAAGTTGAGAGATACACGAACATCCTCCAATTGGAATCACTCCAAATTCGTCTGTTTGATCACTTTTTTCTCAAGAGGAAGTTGAATGTCCTACATTGTAAATATAATTCAAAATATCAAAATTTCACCAAAATAATTACTTAAATATACTAAGAATAAGATCAAATATAAAATATGAAATCGACTCATCAGCCATCATGGTCGGAATTAAGACTAGCCATGGAAGTAAAACAATTTTCCTTTGCTTCAAGAGGTGCCCTTGTTACCTAATTGAAAATTTGAAAAACGAAGCGAATTCTTATCATTTTGATTACATAGGGAGAAGATGACGCCTCACGCGTGAGAGGCGTTTTTAAAAAGATTTGTTTAGAGAATGGAGCTGTGCAAAAAGTTGTTAACAAAAGAACATAATTAGATCCCAAAGTTAACAAAGAACTTAATACAAAACACAGTTAACGTTTTCGTTCAATCAAAAAAGAATGTTAAATATATTCATAGCAGTTAGAAAACAAATAAACAATGAGATGTATCACAATTATTGACAACATCATCATTATCGTTACAGTCATTGTCATGTTACTTATGATCTCCAAAGAATAATACATCAGAATGTTGTTACAGCACATAAGTAATTTTTATATCTATTAATGTTGCTTTCTATTACCGAATATCATAATCCAAACAAGTTTTTTTTTTTTTTTTGCTAAACACTGAGATGCTACTTGAGCGACTTGAAATATTTTGTTTTTGTTTTTATTATAAGCGACCTTCTACATTAATTAACACTAAAAGGGAGGGAGGGTTTGAAATTTGAACCGGCCGGGACACAGTGAGATACATAGAGGCTATGTGAACTTTGAGCTGAATGTTTTGGCTGTTGCTAAACCAAACAGCTCACGTCTCTGAATAAAGGTTGCCTATTTATTAGTCTTAACCGACCTCACACAACGAGGTGAAATGTCAAAAATGTGCATGCCAATGGTTCAATATGTTTTATGCATAACATACTTATAAAGAAGAAAACCGGCCTTCCAATTCGCAAAAATCACAAACTTCAGCCATAATTAATTAAAAACAACAAAATACCCTTCAATCATAAGTCATTTGGTGAACGAGGATTTTAGAACTATGGTACACCCACATCTAGACAGTGCTTTTACAACACCATGCACAGTGACAAGGCATTTAGTCCTTTCAATCGTAACATCTTTTTAGCAACAGCCAAAACAAACGACATGCCGCCTACAGTGCAGTTACAATTCCATGGACAGCAACCTCTGCCTCCACTATGCAAGTATCCTTCACTAAAAACCCATTGCCTGCCTGATTCAAGGTGGCCAGCGAAATGACCTTAGGCCAGCCCCACTCCGAATTTGAGGTACTGAACCAGACGTTAGCTGCACATAATACACCCTGATGTTATGAAGGATGCATACAATTAAACACTGAAATAGGACAATCTTTACCTTTTTGGCCCTCTTGTTTGGCATACATTCGATCTACAATGAGCAGGGAAAACTCTGCATATACTTTGGAACCAGCAAGTTTTTCAGGATCAACCAATTCCAAGTAAAGAGATATGTGAGTACCCTTTCCAAGGTTATTTCCCTTGGGATGGAGACTTATCTTCCTGCAACATTAGGAAGGATATGATGACTTTTTATTACATATCTTTCATTATTTGCGATGGGGCCCAATTCATCTCACATCTTTGGGATTGAATTAAAAGAGCAAACTCCTACATCGGAAGCTAAATTTCAGCAAGTTTTAAGTGATCCCCTTCTTTACATGTATTTTTGTTATGAGAGTTTAGGTTTATGTTCCCCTGATTAAGTGTAACTTCTTTTTTTGTTATTAATAAAATTCCTCTTGTATAGTCGAGGTTTTCCAAAAAATAAAAAAATAAAAATAAAAGAAAAAAAAAATCAAGTTTTACAGTGATCGACCACATCTATTGCGAAAGTTATGTAGTTAAAATAGCATATATAGTTTGAAACTCAAAGTTCATATCCTTTCGTTTATCATTGCAGGTAAAACAAGATGGGTGACAATAGATTATACAGTGGATTAAAATTTTAAAATTCTCTTATTAAGGGTATTAATATAAAGGGCCTAGCAGAGATACCATTTCCGTCCTCCAGCAGTGAATGGTTCTGATTTGCAGCAGTCAGTACCTAACTTTGAAAAGTTCTCAACCTTCCAAACATGCTTGCACTTAACAGCATCCTTGATCTTCGAGATTGACTCTCCTTTGCCAGCTCTTCTTTCTTTACAAACAAAGACCTCAGCTCCAATCACACAATTATCATCAATGACATATCCATTGGAAGGATTAGTAAATGATGTAAGAGTGATAAGCTTATCAAATCCCGAAGAATGCATAATCGCATGGAAACATTTTTCCTTTTTATTGGCATCTATGGAATACACAAGGTAAAAAATAATGATCAGAAAATGAGCAGGGAGCATTGCAATTTTCAAACAAGAAAAATTTCCGGTCTATGAATATGAAGAATTAACTTTTGAAGTAGGTAATATGTACCTTGAAGAACCAGGAACATGCCTTTATTCTGATCAAGCAAAAAGAACCTGAAATCAACATATACTTCATATCCAGTCTGAAGTGAATCAGCTCCAACCATTTCCAAGTAAACAGATATGTGGTCTTCCACATTTTTCTTCTTGTTTCCATTCGGGTAGAGCACTAGTTTCCTGAGAGCAAACATACAGTATGGCTAACATTTTATTTTTACCAGTTTACATGCACAGCACCAAGATATACGAAACACATTATTGCATTACAAAAAAAAAAAAAAAACAAATGTCATAGAACTAATGTCAGATAGTGAGAGACAAACATAAGTTTACAGAAGACATAATGAGGGATTTACCATTTGTATCCTCCAGCTTCAAATTCTCCGACTCATATTCGTCAGCTGAAGTTTTGGTTAGCACTGAAAACGACCGGATTTTTAGAGCATAATGAGTTGGAGGTGAATCTGAAAATGATGTCGAAAACCCTGAAACAAAATATAGTGTTAATGCAAGCACATATTGTCTAGACTAAAACCGGTAACATAAAGCAGATAAAGTATTTAACCATTTTGTTGAAAGAGATAACAAGCCATGGCAATAAAATTGAAATTGGTTAACAAACTGTTAAGGCTAAACAATTATCTTTTGCATCAAGAGGGGCTTACCTATATATAATGTCATTAGAGAAGGAATTTAGTGTAGAGATTTTTCAGTGTGTCCGGAACACAGGGTGGTACGCCACATGTCATAATGCAAAAAACTTTCCACCAATTATATAATAACATGTAGCATACCACCCCGCGTTTCGGGCAAATTGAAAAATCTCTATATGCAACAAGCTTCCTACACATTGGACGAAATATGTCTTTTCATCTTTGTACTGTACTAAGTTTAATAAACTAGGTGTGCAATCTCTTTCTTTTCCAATTCATTAAAAAAAAAAAAAAGCAACTACTCAATGGCTTCATACATTGTACCATTGAGGATACCGTGTATTTGGTAAAGTTTGAAAGTGAAAAGATTGTATAAATGAATACGCGTACACTTTAATCTTCAAACCATACAAAGGTCTTTCTTCAAGTTCCCGCACAAATCAGTTCTTCTTGCCAAGCACAATGAGGCAATATTCATGTCCATTAAAATGAAAAATTGAAAGTTTGAATTAGCTACACAGCTTGAACCCAAGGCACTGAACTAGTTATAATCTAGGCACTGCTTTACGATAATAGAAGAATACGAAAAGGTTCTCAGTTACTGCTGTTGCGATAATAGATTTAGGCAGAACTTTGCAGCTGCTCTACTGAGAAATATTGGAAGCCAATTTCAACTTTTTCTTTTTTGCTTTAACTTTTTACTTTTGCTTTGCTGTCAACTTTTTCTTTTTATTTTTCTTCTTTTTTCTTTACTCATACTTCTCACTTTAATGAAAATGTACGAGAATTCAATACCTAAGTTCAGATATTATTAAAGTTGTCATGCTCCTGTCCCGAAATATGACAAAAATTAAACCAATAGTTCAACAACATAGGATCTTTTCATTTTACTTTGCTGATGCACCTAACCTCAGGTTAGATTGCCTACATACCATGTGAAGGAATCAAGCCAATCGTAATTCATCATTTTGTTAAGCTCTAAAAATCTTTTATTTGCAGTGATTTCCAAAAACTCTCACGACATTGTCTAGCATGAAAACATAGAGTTCCAGACTACTCACAATTTTACAATCAATAACAAATAACATTTCAATAACATCCAAGTAGCATATCTGCTCTCTCAACTGCTCTTAATATCAGTCTTCACATGATTTTTAGATCATATTCAAGGTCCACTGACCACATGACAAATCAATCTTCAAAGTGCATGACTTTGAAAACCTAGGTAGAGGGAAAATAAATTTGCTCTCTGAAAATGTTGAGTCTACTGCCTTGTATCTTCCTTCCTTTTCTTTCCAACTTTTGTCTGTTTGGGAGAATTACAAACTCTTTAAACTTCCTTGCCACCTTTTCTCCTCACAATGTTGTCTTTCAGGATCGAGTCATCAAGAAGCTGATTAGTGGAGGGTTCTACTTGAATAGATTGTATTAGTTGTCAAAAGATATTACAATTCCAAAGGTATGTCAAGTCAGCCTAAATCCAGTCTAAGAACATCATGAATCAATTCTCATCTAATAATTTTAAGATAAGACAATGGCACTGAGTACACTTCAAAAATCATGATTGACTATTTGAGCACATATGGCATCATACATCAAACAAGTTGTGTAGGTATACTACACAAAACGATGTAGCTGAGAGGAAGAATAGAGACTGGCTTGAAAAAAACCCAAGGCTGAATGTGCCTAAAAGACTTTGGTCACTAGGAGTTCTCACTGCCCAATACATCGTCAATAGATTGCCTAGCAGGAGTTGAAACTCAAAATCTCCTTTTCATGAAGGGAAAGCCAAATGGTCAGTTGCTCATGGTATTCTGTTGAACAAAAAATGACAACATTCAAATTATGGAGTACACATGATGCGAATTGGGCAGGAAATGCTATCGACTGAAAATTAACCACTGGCTATTGTACATCTGCTGGAGGAAACTTAGTTGTATAAGGGCAAAAAACAAAACATAATTTGCTCGTTGGAGCATCAAAGTTGAGTATAAGGCAAGGCGTCATCTGCTTGTGAGCTCATATGGTTAAAAGGACTTCTTTCTGATTTGGGGTTTCCCAGTAGCCAACCTATGTCCCTCTTCTGTGACAATCAAAATTGGCAACAAAGGAGAGTAGGCGTCAATTTCTTCCATTTCCTTGGTTTTATACTAGGGCCCACATAAAATTTCTATTATTTTTTCTTATTATTAGAGTGAATCTTAACTTTTTTACACCAAATTTTTAGTATATCAAGACTAAATTAATAACAAAGAAACAATCGGTTGGATATTAAAATAAATGAAGATGTCAAATTGCCACATAAGCTATCAAATTTAAATGTGATTTTTTGAATTTAACATCCCCTTGGAGATGCTCTAAGCATATCGAAGTCAATTGGCATATATTCGAGAGAAAGTTCGATCCTAGCCTATTCAAACTTATTATCCTTGCAACCATGATCAGCTTGCGGATGTTCTCACCAAGACCCTACCCACAACTCAATTTAACTTATGTCCAAGCTTCAATCAGTCAATCTTCTTGATCCAGCTTGAGGGGAGTATTGGAAGCCAACTTCAACTTTTTTCTTTTTTGCTTTAACATTTTCTTTTTGCATTTCTCCTTTCGTTTTTCGTTCATTGTCCATTAATTCGGCCTTAAAATACTCAATTGTTGGAATTGGTAGGGTAAAATAAAAAAAGGCAACTTATGCATCTTTAGTCCTTAAGGGTGCGTTTGTTTGGCTTCACTAATCTTTACTCAACTAAACTGGACTACTTATCAGTGTAATTATGTGTTTGTTACATAGTGAGACTAAGTTTAATGGGATTGAAAGGGACTCGCGTTCACGAACTCTCTTGCTAAAGGGTCTTAGCGAGGCCCCCCGATTACAATGGGACTGCTAAGACTCTCGCTGCATTCTTCTTTGCGTGCATCCTTCTCTTCTTTCTTCTCCGCATCGTGTCTTACACCCACCAAACTCTGGCAAGATCACACCACCGATCCAAACCACCACCAGTCTTTTGGGTTGGGCTCATCCTTATCGAATCCTAGTTTCCCTCTCGTGCACACTAGCCAAACCATTGACCCTCGTTTCTCTTCCCTGGAAGATCATACTCCTTCCTTGGAGGCTACGATGGCCTTGTTACCTTCCCTCATTGATGTTGTTATCGAAAAGGTCTTTGCAACCAAGCTTTTTGCCTATTTCAACAAATTTCGTAAAGAGTTACACTTTCGAAGTGCCGGAGAATGCATATATGCCCCTCTTGCCACTGACCATCATGTTTCTCCTGCGATTGAGCCTATCCAGCTACCTCGAAGCCCAATCTGTGTTGGATGAGCCCAATCACAACTTATTCTGGCTGCAATCCAAGCTCCATTGTTGCTCTCATCTTTACCGTTGTTGCGAGCACTGACAACTTCGGCCTTCAAGCCATAATTGAACGATTCCACTGCAGCCACAGTTTCTCTGCCGAAATCGAAGAGAGGGATTCATGTTTCGACGATGACCTCTGCTCCGTGCCTACTTTATGAGTACTCGTTCTTCGATACTACAGACACTGGACCTGAGGTAGTTCTTAATTTGAGTATCATTTCAACAACTTCGGAAGCTAAATTCCCTTCTCTTTTTACTAATTACTATGGTGCATACCTGAAAGATAAATTTGGATTGGTTAATTGGTACCTTGCGGGTAAATTTGTGAGGAAGTATTTTTGTGCATGGAAACTGTTTGATGAAATTCCAGACTCAAGTTGCTATGTTGTTCTCGATTGGGACATGTGATACTACAATGGCATTCAGGATAAGGGTGGAGGCTCTAAATTCCACAAAATGCAATTGAAGATGGCAGTGGTTCAAATAAAGCTACTGAGGAATAAGAAGCATGTGGTGGTGAAGCAAATAAGGGGTGACATTGCCTTGCCCCTACAATCTGGTCATGATATTCGGGTTGAACATGGTTCAAAGTAGAAAAATTTTTGACCGCCAATGAGTTCATTGAGCTTTTCTGTGAATTAGTAGTATCCAGACTTTCTATCATCGCAAAGCAAAAGGAGTGTCTACCTAATCTCAAAGAGGGAATTGCTAGTTTAATCTTTGCCTCTTCCAAGTGTTCTGAGATCTCGGAACTGATCGTTCTAAGGAATATTTTTGAGGAAAAGTATGGTAAAGATTTTGTATATGCGGCTATTGATGTACGTCTCGGCTGTGGTGCGAATCGCATGTTGTGGTGTGAAATAGGACATATGCAGTTTGTAGGCTCAGCATCAGCTGCTGAAGCAGCTGCAAATTCTACCAGTGATACAATGGCTGCTACACAAGTTGCTGCATATTTAGCCAACAAAGACTCCAATCAGGTAGCTTAATCATGTTCAAGTATCAATGGAATTTCTACTTCTGAGAAATTGCTTCATAAGAGAAACGAAATGTCTGGAGTTAATAAATTCACTAAAAAACCATTCTGTGGATTTATTGTTTATGTGTGGGAAGCCCTTTAAGACACTACCATCATGATACTTGCAATTTGTGCCTTTGCATCTCTACTTGAAAGAAATCGTATGAGAAAAACTTTTCTTAGGCCCTAGGCTGATTCTCAAGACATTGATATTGTATCTCTCAAGAAAATAAAAGTAGCCTCCTTGTTGAGTTTGATAGTTTCTTTACGATCGATATGTGAAGGCAGATTTCAATCTCTTGAATAGTTTCTGTCTCATGAATATTGTATATCTCTTGCTGACAATATAGAAAGTAAAGTCAAGTTGAGGGAGGAAGGCTATTCTCAACTCCTTACTGAAGTGCATAAATTTGTTGATGTGATTTCTAAATTTAATAATATGGTTTCTTCAATTCCAGC